CATTAGCTCTAGGAAAATCCTGTTCAAAATCAAAGTAATATATATTTCTGAGTTTAATATATCCATGAAAACAGGGCCAGTTATTCAGTTTGCCCTGATTCCCTACCAGACACCAACTTTCAGATAATGAAGAGGCACTTTGTAAAGAACTGTAGGATTTCTGAGGATCAGTATCCATTATGTGTGTTCACACATCTACTTAAATCCAACAAGGCTTTGTCAGCAAAAACACAATAACTGTGGACCAAGTGTACCTCCATTCATTGACTGGATAAACCACTTTAAAAAAAATGTAGTGGCATATTCCAACATTTTCTTCTATCAAATCAAGAGAACGCTTTGAACATGGCATCATTTTGTATGTTTCAGAACTACTACTACTGTATACTGGATGAAGAATAAAATAAGTCTCCAGCTCAAGCAACAAAATGGAACTTGGTATGTTTACTTTTGAAAACAGCACTATAAAAATATTTACATTCTCTTAAAACCTTCCACCTGATACAAACATACATTCCTGTAATCTAGCCCAGTCACTGCTTAAAAACATTTCAGCTATTAATTTGATGATTTAAAAAAGTGCATGTTAGTTGTCTGTCAAGTTAATTCTCTTTATAATGAACTAAAATTACTACTGTATTGATAAATGTTTTCATTACTTGTCCATTCTTACTGGAATTATAATGGTAGTCATTCAAATTTTGTAATTCAAATAGTGATACATAGTTTTGGTTTATTTTATTACCTAATATTTGTACAAGCGCAACACAGCCTGCTCTTAACAAAGCAAAACATTCAATCACACACAGGTCTAAGGAGATCCTTCACTGTATCAACTTTAGATATGTACGCTACCGATGAAATACAATCGATTTTTCAGTGTAATTTATATGACAAAATAATTCACATGTACGTATATTATACACACCTGTGTAATATACAAAAATCGTCACACAGAAATCTTGTTGAAACGCTGCAAACTGCGACCTTCATAAATTACGGAATTTAAAACTGCTATTCCCAAAAGCAAGTTTTGTAAAATGTCGGTGCTTATTGTTATCCCTTTGTGATTCAGTGTTAATACTAGGCCTTTTTTTGATCTCCATCTGGTAAGGTAAAATTTCCTCTGCTGCAGGTTGTGTGTTCTTGAGTTTTTTTGTAAGAATTTCAGCTTGCTATATCTAAACACATATCATGTTGCATTGTTGTTTACATTCTTAATGCTTAATTTAGTTCATTATAAAGACATTAAACAAGAAACATCTTTGCCTCCACCTCATAACAAGAAACATAAAATGATCACCTGGTGCAGGTATTGGTGGTATGCATGAAGCAACAGATCGAGGCATCATTGCACGCATATCAACCATTGTAGCAGCTGGAACAGGGGGTAATTCTGCACCTTGTCTTGGGCTATCATCTAGCCTGTGTAAGTAAACAAATTTGTCTTTGTTAGAAGTCAAGTTTCATCAAAATGTCAAAGTGCTTAAAAAACATCAAAATCAAATTACATTTGTGCTGATAAATAAAGCAGCTCTTAAAATGAACCAAATTACATCAAAATCAGTACACCTCAACAAAATGTACTAAACTTTTGTCCTTGGTCCATGGTTTAAGCAGATGAATTCAGTCATCATTACAACCTGTTTCTTTGAGACCCATTTTAGTCTTACTTCCTCCTTCTTAGGTCTAAATATTCTCATTAACCTGTTCTCAAACTGGTGTTTCCAAAATCAATTCCAAAAAATTCATCCAAGTCAAAAGTTCTAAGCAGCATGTCTTTTTACAGCGAAGTGCTGTTAGTCCCCGCTCAAATCCCAAGCTGGATGACCGATCACCCCTTGTTAGTTGTCCGTATCTCCTTATTGAATACATTCATAGGCACTCTCCATATCTGGAGGCCATCCTCCTCTATCTGCAGTCTGAGTGAACCTTCATGTTCAATAAAGGCAGGGTACTTCTTGATTAGTTACGTGATTATAAGCTCCTGAAGGAAAAAAGTGTGAGGTACATTTTGAAAACATGATGTTTCATAAATGCAGTAAAATTAAAAAACAAACCTAAACTGTTTGAGAAGTGTACAGTCTCCTCCTTCTTTAGTATCCAAGTTGTAAACATACAGGGTTCCATCGGCTGATGCCACCAGAAGACGTAAAACTTTCTGGATCCTGCCAAAATAATAAAGAAACAAAAGATATCATTAACACTAAAAATGCAAACAAGGAAATATGCATATTAACTTATATTTTGTGCAATAAATTGGTCCAACAATAACCTCAGTCCCCACTCTTGTGTGTTAACAGTACCAACAGTTTTTCACCTTTGCTTTCTACTGCCAGGAATTTTTCAATTACGCATTTTGAGGTATGGTGTGTTAATAAGTTGCAAATAACATGTTACAAGTATTTATGGTCATTGTTTTCATTTATTCCTTTCAGAACATGTGGATGTTGTAAACTCACATCGTAATGGCGCAGACATTACGCAGTCCTTGGAATGGAAGGTGAACAGACGCAAATGACCGGCCCTGGTTGAAGACATCAGTCATCTGAGAGGGGAGGTAACTAGCTGAAGCAGAGACAGCTTTTGTCAGATAACCCATCCACCCCTGCTTTTCCTCTGAAGCTAGTCTTGGCCTGAAAAAATTAACAAAAAATTGATCTTTTAATGCCCATGACAAGACAGTGTATAAGACACTGCGCATGGTACCCTAAAAAGACAAATATGGAAAATAATGTGTCTGCCCATGTGTGATTCATGTCTGGAGTTGTCAAGACAGTCTCTTGGGATATTAAGAATAGATTAAGTGACCAGGTCTAAGAGGGATATGGCAAAACAGGAATAACACTGAGTCAAATACAACATAAAAGGTTGTACAATGTCAGAAGAGGGTGGAAACGGCTTTGCTAAGTGACAATAAGGAAATGTGGAAGTATTAAAGGATAATTATGGTGATGACAAAAGTATATCAAGAGAGCTCAAAGCAGCTCTGTTTAGTTAAATCTGATGCACTAGTGGTAGTATCAACTGCATGATTCATTACCAAAATTCAGATGTATTAATGCATTATAATAATTATCACCAGAATGTTGAACTCTGTTTCCGAACTGCTCTTCACTTCTATAAGCTGCATAGACACTTTCTCCCAGCATTCACAACTGATACACATTTCTTAATGCATCTGAATTGTTTGTAAAAATAATTTATTTTAAAAGACTTCAATTTTACAAACAATATTTGAAAAGATATGATTGCATTTTATATTACATCACAGATTGAACATACTCCTTATGAAACCAAATCATACAGACTGATACTTACAATTGGTTAGGTTCTTCCAATTTGAACACATGGACAGTCTCAGTGTTGCTTGAACAACAGAGATATGTTGAATCCATGCTGAATGCTAGACTAGAAATGCTCACACAACGTTTCACCCCTCGACGAAACTCATAGAGTTTAGTACCATCACGGATGAAGAAAACTCGAATTACTGTCCCCTTCTCTGAAGCTGTTGCGATTTTCGTGCCTGATGGGCTGAATCCTAAAGCTGCCAGCGGACTATCATGTGCAGGAATCATAGTCTCTGCATGCTGAAAGGCAGTGAACAATTTGATCACTTTTACAGCTCCAAGTTTTACACTGTATTCATCAGGGAAAAGAAACAGATCATCAGGTACAGCACTATGTGAGAAACCCACAACATTAGCAAAGTGCGCAAATTTTGCATCATTAGTTATTGATAATGAAAAGTGTTATTTTATTGGGCTACTGAAAACTCTCTGTTAAACTGACCACAAATTTTTCAAATAGTAACTCCGTTTCTGTTTTTAAATGATTGAATACTTCTAATTTCTATGAAAAAGGGTAGAAATATTTGCCATATGAACTATATTTCTATTTCTTCGATTAAAATTGTGATATATGGAATTTTGTAATTTCAAAATACAGCAAACCCATGCCATTTGTGAGGGTTATATTCCAGAAAACATTATGGTCTTATGAGAAACTGGGAATTAGGGAATCTACAATCACTGTTAATACTCACCAAAGCTTAATTAAACTACCTGTTTGTTCAACAAACACAATTTCTTTGATCACTTAAGTTACAGTGTTGTTCATTCTACAAGACTCTGGTCATTAAAATTATACTATTATCATTCTGATTCTCCAAGTAATATTTAAAATATGTTTACATATAATTATATATCCAAGAATCAAATTACAAGATTGACAGCATCAAAGATTTGAACTTCTCCAATACTGTTGGATCCTGGATAAGCTAGAAAGCAGTTGTCACTGTTAATAGAAAGTGTACAAATTCCAAATGGATTTGGTGGTGTATCACGTATCGTATGCAGAACCTTCATATCTCGGATGTTATGGATGTACAGAGACTCTTCAAGGCATACCACTAGCCTCTGCAAAGAAAACAAGTAGAACAAAATTATTAATTTATATTATTATGTACATATTTCCTCTTCATTTCCATACAAAATCTAATGACCAGAAATCTGTATGAACAGTAACTATGTCTGGTAAGCATCAAATTTTTTTTTTGCCAATATGAATTATGGATGAAATACAGTATATACGACACTGAGTAAACAAAAATTCAGTGCAACAAAAAGCATGTGTGATATTTAATTTAATTAGAAGACGGTACAGTGAGCAATATTTCAAGGAGGATATTACAAATTAGACCATGAGCTGTCCATGTTACCATCTTGAAGCTCAATGTAACCACTACACATGACAGCAATATTGCAAGTTTGGAACATCTAAGTTGCCATAAGATAAGGTTTTTCAAATCATCCATCTGTTCATCACAGTACATACAAAACTGTAATGTGGCTGTGTTCGCTATTTATAAGAAAGAGCATGACTTATTGACAGTTGCATTACAGTCCACGACTGTAATCTTGAGACTTGCAAGGAATGCAGGAAGTCCGTAGCATTAAAGGTAGACGCTATGTTTCCTCCTCCCTCCTTCACCCCACTTCCTCACACCGCAAGTTTCTAGATTACAGTCGTGGACTGTATACAGGACAGTGACAGGAGTTTAAAAAAATGAATTCTCCATAATCATTTGTATTTTATAAGGACCTGGTTTCCAAATAATAATTTAAACAATCAGTAATGTTAGCACTCTGACTAAATTACTTACAACTCTGTTTAGTTTGACAGCAAGTATGGTGTTAGAATAGCTATAATTACAAATCTCAGTGCCCTTCTTGAAGTGACACACTTTCAACTTCCGGGGAGAGTTGAGACTAACCACGGCCACCAGACTGCTACTGAACAGTCTCTCCACAATGCAGATGTCTTCAGAAACTGTAAATAAGGGTCAAGTTCTGTACACAGTACTCCAAATAATTCACACATCAAAATCATAATACCCTAATGTCAAAGACAACACAAACATCTTCCAAAAAAAGATTTCAGAATTATAGACATATAGAATTTACTTGGTAACATTAAAACATATGATTATTCTGACAAATACTTTATGAAAATAACATCCTACTATGCTGCGAAATAATGCAGCTGTCACTGGTATAGGAACACTTTATTTTTTCAGTAATAAATATAAACAACCAGACAAATTTGACACAGTGGTGGCAAGAAAATTGACTAATTAAGACTATATACACAGAGTTTGCCCCATAGAGTTAATCAGCAGTTATTCTCAATTGCTGACAATGAAGAAATGGTAAATACCAAATCCTACATTTCCATTATGTTTAAATATTTTCTCAAAATGGATATTTTAAGACAAACCACACAACCAAATGATGCGCAACACTGTGTCATGTCTTTAACTGATACACATTATACCTGTAGAAATAGAACATCATTTAGTACATTAAGAACATTTAATATTGTTAATTACTTATTTCCCATCTTTTACAGTGACAACCAAATTCTTCAACAACTTCTACTTTTTTATGGAACCCCAATGACTGTTCAACCTTTTCTTGATTCAAGTGATTCATGTTTCATTATACCATTTTGAGCTGTTTATATTAACTGGGATACTGAGACATGTCTGAATGCACTGAAGATGGAGACAGTACTTCAGAATGGTGGTCATCTACCTATAAGACTACAAAGTGCCACAACCCAGAACATCATCATCAGGTATGCATAGATTTATATAGAAAAAACTTTTCTATTACTTTCTTCAGTTTTCTGACAAACGTAAACATGGAAAGGATAAACTGGACCAAACATTGCAGTGTACTAGTTAGCTTTCCTGTTTTGCACCGACAGGGACCTTGTTCAAACACTGGCCAGTAAATTAGCTGTGCAGTTTAAGATTTTAAATTCTTTTCAAAGTTCCTGTAGGAAAGTGCTGGAATAGCATCTTAAAACTGACGCTGCCTCTTTCATATATCCTAGTCAAAACACCATTCATAATCACAGGCACTTCTCATTCAACATTATATAACCTCTGCAGTTGACAGGGCTACTAAATTAACAAAATAAATAAAAACACATTCAGTCTTCGACTGACGCAGCTCTGACACAATCAACAATGCTGCTATATCATTCCTCTTTAACAATGAATGAACAACACAACAATATCCCTTATACAGCTTAAGTTTCTAGATTCTCTTCTTCTTCTTCCTCGGCACTATAGCCCAGGGTGGGCTTTGGCCTCCCTTAGTTGCTATATTATAACTAATTAATAACATTCAAATACCTTGTAATTGTGAATGATCTCAGAATCTGTTGCCAACAGTAGTGCTACACATAAAGAAAGAATGATGCTTTGGAGATGGGATCAATAAGTGGGGCCTGTCTCTTTCTATTCTAGTCTAGTAAAAGAGAAAACAAGACAAGAATCTCTAAAGATTATTTAGGCAAAAATTTGACTGTATTGTTAGAAACATAAGTAGTTTGTATCCAGAATACTTTAAGTGAAGATGAGAGTTATTTTACTATGATAATGAAACAAAACTGATTTTTTAGAAATCAAAATTACTCACATAAAAGTGCTGAAAAAAACAGAAGTCAACTAACTACTTGGTACCCTAAACTTCATAATCTCACATAAATTCAAACAATTATGTTGGTGTTCACTGGAAGTACATGCATTATTACATGGGGTACCACTCAGACCTTATCTGCATGTATATGGTTACTTACCTAAGTAATTGAGTTGTAACAGATCATCAAACATGACTGATTGCAGTGAGGGAAAAGATCAATGCTACTTGGTCTGAACTACAAACAGTGTCATAAAATAAACCACAAATAAAATAAAACTTAAATGAAGCAAAAAACACATACAGTCTTACCCCATTAGTGTCGCTCGTGTCCAGTACCAATACCGCCTTAAGAGCTAAGATGGCAGTAAATAGGAAATTTTAATTCTTGGGTGTATTTTTAATAATACTATCTCATAGTTTTAATCTTTACCATATTTCATTTTCTTACAGCAAAATACACACAAACTTTTGTGTATAAAATTTTTCACTCATTAGCTGACCAAATACTTTATCTTGTTTCTTAACAACTTCACCCGCTGCTTCTCCATTTTTCATATTCACTTGCCATATCCAAATAACTTAAGCATATTCAAGGTCTTCAGGTTCTGAACCCTTCATCCACTTCACAATTTTTACATGTTTGTGGATGTATTTATGTCACCATACACATTTTGTTTACAATGAATCATTCCAAAACGTCTTGTGCAGTAATGTTGTTGGGTAGGACATAGAGTAAACAAGGGAACACGAAAAGTACATTAAAAATTATGTTAGAAAGTCTCAAGGGAAGAAGCCATACAGGCAACGTAAACATACAGGATAAGCACAGAGAGGGCAACTTAAAAACAGATCATCAAAAAATTGGATGTGATGGTGCAGTGATTATTAATCAGTTCAGGATATGGTTCAATGGTGAGCTTTTGTGTTCACAGTGGTAATGTAATAAATCTCTAGATTCATTTAAATGCAGGAACTGTTTTAATTGGCTTAGCAACTATGAACGTTTCAAGGAACATCCTGCACCATGAAATTACTTTGTCAGTTAATTCCATATTGTTATTTTACACTTTTATAACAAATCATTCCAACAGATACATATTCTTAAGCACTTCTACAACCCTGTGGAGCACCTATTAAAATCACTCAATCTGTGAGTCCGTACTCATGTTATGAGTAAAAAATATCTGAACATTTTTTCATTAAATTTCATACTGCAGAATTCTCTAAAATGTCCTGACACATTCCAATTGAAACAGGTGCTTTATATGAAAATATGCATGTAGAAATTACTGCAATCTGTATTCTACACACTTACCATTTTCATATATTGACTCCAAATTGTCAACAGAACTTAGTGAGAATAACCGATAGCCAGTTTTTGTGCCCACAGCCAAGGAACTGTAAAGTAAAAAGAAAATAAGAAAAAAAAAGCTGACTGACATAATACAAGAAAATGTGATACAATGTTTGTGTAAATATGTGCATGCCACACAATGTTATTACCTCCTTACCTCAACAAAGTATTGAATGATATATGCATGATTAATATTTCCTTTTCAGTTTAGCAACACTGATCTCCTGATGTCATTCTCTCCCTCCTTCCAAATGTTTGCATAATACAACCCACTTTAATAAGCCTACTTTCACTTCAGTTGCAATAAGGAAAGCAAAAATAGTGACAATCTGACAATGGCTTGAAAACGAGTATACCTAACGTATTATAGCACCACTCCTACAAACTCATTCAAAGATTAAAAGTGTTATTAATGCTTATCACTGTTTATAATTTGAAATTAGAGAACAAAGAAATTAATCCTGTCCACTGAACCAACATAAACCTTGGTAGCCTAAGCTATGACAAATATAATGATACTTACGTGCAGTCCTGATTAAAATTAACAAACAAAACGCTACTAGCAGGATCACTTTCTTGATTTGCAAGGTTCATTACTCTTGATATACCAGCCTTTAATCCCTGCGTCAACACATCAACGTTTCTAGCAAAATTTTGCATATATATTGCGTAAATTTCTACGACCTTGTACAATCACTCCATATTGACCACAATAAACAGCTGTGTCTGGCGTTACGAGTTCCTTGTCCAATCTTGATACTTCGTACTTGAAACTTGAAAGTTCATTATTTCTACACCAGTTGTACCGCGTAATTTGAATAACAAAGCTGTTTAAAGATAATTTGAACACAGATAAAAAAGTATGGAGAAACAGTGCTATTTCTATGATGGTTAGCACCGATATCCAATATTGGTATCTGTTTATAATAAAAGAATTTCGGTTAGAATTATCGAACATAATTTCAAAGACCGGCCCTCTTCTTTTTAAAGAGAAAGCACAATGTATTATATCGGGTTCATATATACTTATCCAAACATAAAATAGTAAGATACAAGAGAAAGAAACGTATGATTAATAAAATCTCGGGCTATCAACCGTGTCAGCTTCTTAAAAATTATTCAATTTCAGGGACCATCTCAGTCGGTGATGTTCAAGCAATTGACATGATTAATGGCCCAAGAAGACTTTTTTAATGTTAGTCACCATGAAAACTATTGGCCACACGGAAGTAATATAAGGTGTTCAGTACATTAACAATATTCTATGAAAGTATGTAAGATGGTATCTGTTCTCTGCGATGGCACCAATACTCACGTTCCTCTGTAATTACTGATGACGTCATCTCCTGTGATAGCATAATTTATTGTGAGCATGTTCTAATTTGAGAATTGCTGTATGGATTTCTATTAAATTTGGTACGGGAATTGTGCAATTGGGGACTATTTCAATGTCATGTATTTTAGTTGCCTACAACTAGTAATACCAATTAGACGGATGCTGAAAGCTGGGTTACTGAAATGTGTATACCAACAAGATGGCTGTCTTCCGGGTTGTTGTGCCGTGTTGCCTGGTAAAAGTTTACCAACAATTCGCACCAATTTCAGCCTTGATGATCTACCCATGCGTCCATCTATCAACGGCCAGTCGCACTTTTTTGATACATCACCGATTGGAAGTGGTGTACAGAGTAGAACTGAATCCACCGATTATGACCGCTGACCTTGTATAGAGATACCAGTATGCGAACCACTCAATGAAGGAAGTACAGTACAGTCTGTGTCAATGCAGCGGTGTAGAAGCCTGACAATTGTTGTCCAGTGACTGTTCTGTGTTAACAACATGCCACCTGTTCGTTGCAATCTCCTTCTTGGTCATTGATAACGCCTCGTATCAAAACACTCAGACAGACAAACCACCGACGTCTAACTCAAAGAAGGACGAAATGAAAGCCTGGCTATTGGAAAGAAACATCCCATTTTCTGACATGTTGAAAGCTCAATTGTACGATTTAATCAAATTAAATAAGTCAAAGCCTAAATATTATGCGATTGATCAGGCATAATCGAAGACGCTATTGAACGTATTATAATTTAAGATAATGGAGTGGACACGAGCAGCGGTAGTGATGAATCGAGTGATGCCAGAAAGCTATGGTCTGTGAGGAGCGGAAGAATTGCAAGAGGACCGAAGAGTTGTGAAGAAGACAAAATTATCTAATAATCTCTGCGGTGTTAATTTTCTAGTGATGAGTAATTTAGTGAAATCGACTGTCCTGTGTTGCACTCCGTGGTGATGTTTTATTTGGAGTGTTCTGTACGCGGCCTGCTGCCATCGCTTCCAGCAAACTTCTAGTAACTCGCTCCGAGGTTCCAATTCACAAAGTTCAGCGGCAAAAAAAGCTGGAACGCATTATACGTCTGGAACTTTTGTTTAGCCTATAGAGTATACATTTTTAGTCTTGCTTAATGGCTGTCTTTGCAGTACATGTTCCCGGCATTTGGCCCACGCTGTACTACAAAAATTCTTGTTCTTATGGACGTGGATTTTTTACATAACATTCTTGAAGAATTACGAAGTCTTTCGACAGCGAAAGATTTACGTCGGATGTGCAATCCAGTATGACAGCAATATTTTTGCTTCCCTCAACCTGTTACGTTATTTTTTATCACTTTGTTGCCCATGAGGTATTTTGGAAGTTTACAAGTTTCCGACGACTTATGTACAAATTCTTATGCAAAGCTCGTTATGCTTATCAAGAAGGTTCACTAGGCCCAGAAAATATCTGTTTTTTGTAGGCTTATACGGGTGCTACAAGCTCGTGTAATAATTAGGATTTGAGGTTTTCACGGCGTGAGTCTGAAAATGGATGTCTTCTGGGTTGTAACGCCGTGTAGTCTGGTAGATGAATATTCGTCACCCTTATGATGGAGGCAGCAAGGACCTCTGAAATGTTTATAAACTTTTACCAGTCTACACGACACTGCAACCTAAAATACAGCCATCTTAGCGTATGTAATGTTTCATTGCGGCACTTCTGTATCTTTTTAGTTCTGGTTACTGGAAAAAAAAAGATAATTACGATGATTAATAAAGTTGATGAAAATGTTGAAGAACTAGTGGTCATGGCTTGTATAGTTTTGCAATGTTCCATCCTGTTATTTGCCGGAACAGAATACAAAAAATGATAAAAAATATACATTCAGGGTGGTCAGATCCAGCCGAATTCTGAATACGAACGTGACCATTGTGCCAAGCTAGTTCGAACATCTTATTCTTTTCAATGTAAGTTCTTAATATGAAGTAATCGTTCATAGTCTACTGAATTTACGTCATGACGGCGTGAGCTAGGTGGTAAGACAATGCCGATTCAGCACGTTATAGTAGTCCACGGCCGTTTTATTCCATATCTTTCCAGTTCTTTACTGGCAGGGTCATTAAATAAATTATAAATAAACAACCAAAATGTGTTACATCAGAGTGACATTATTTTTGATTAGGGATGTAATAAAGCTCTTAAGACCAGAAACGAATCCGACATATCTAGAGAAAAAGTAATACAGAGAGAACAAATATTTTCCTTTGAATTCTTGTTTCATACAAACCAGCATGCACGATCTCAGTTGAACAATTTAAATAAACCATAAAACTTACGTTGTTTCTTCGTGTTCATTAATGCTGACATGTTTAATCCAGTCCCATTTGTCAACAATTTCAAAATGGTCCATTGTCTACGCCACGCAGATGAAAGATGCGAATATTAAAGACGATTTATTAATTTTACTGATCACTGGCATAGAAGAGTCTTCCAGGTACTGAAGAAGTCGCTAGTCACGTACTTTACAATTTCTAACGGTATTTGATAAGTACAGAGGGTTTTACTGGGAATAACCCTCAACCCTTGCTAAAAATACGGACGTCAGGTACACCACCCAACCATCAGGAATAAAGATTTATTTGGACTTGCTTGAGTAATCAGAGACTTGTGGTACAGTACACAAAGCTGCAACATTATGTCGAATTTATTTTTTAGCCTGCCTCGGTAGTTTGCCTTATTAGTTACTATTTGCTGATCTTGACAGTCCTGAGATCTCACGCATTTTCGATTCCGGGTGTTTTACAATACCCTCGGGGCACGACTGTGATCTGTATCGTTATGTATTGACTTGTGTTGCGAGAGGTCATGCGATGATATGAACCAGCAGCGGAGCCTCATGTTAATAATGTAAACCCCTGTTAACACTTTAAAATACGATTAATAAAGTATTCTGTTCTACTTTAGTAGTTTAGTACTTCATACACTGGAACACAGCAGAAGTAATCAGATAAAAAGTAAACGTTAGCTAGTTTCAGCCAACCAGGCGTAGTTAATGTTGTTGCCATTGAACCACGATAGTAAGACAGAAGATTTTTCTTCTTCCATTTTTCAAAGTGTTAGCCGGGCTAACACGGTTAAGATGGATAACATTAAAGCTCCGCCTCTGGAATGAATAGTTCTGGTAGTCCAATCATCCTCCAATAGGAATTCGAAACTGCGGTTTATATTTAAAATTATTCTTTGTCAGGACTTTTTCCATCGTCTGTTCTTTAAAATCCCGACGTTTAGGAGGTTGGTTCCGTCTCCGTCTTCAGGTGAGAGGTACCTACTCTGTTGGGTCCCTTAGATAGAGCTAGTCTTCGCCACTGGAGTGTCGTGGTTTTAAAGAACAGGCGATGGAAAAAGTCCTGACAAAGAATAATTTTAAGTATAAACTACCGTCGTCAAAACCCTTTAGAATTGAATCGCGGTTTATATGTTTAGCTGGACTAAGATCTTGAGGACTTTAGATAAGTAGCTACCGGGAAATGAGTACTTCATTTTGAGAGTTTGTGTTTTGTGAGATAGTTTAAGGCTAGAGATGTTTTGCACAGTCCTGTTGAAACTGTTAGCACAAAATGTAGGATAGGATGTCGCTACTGTTTCGTGTTCAGGAATTGCTCTGTCCAAATCTTAATTAGGGGTTGTGGGTTTCCTCCGGAAAAATGTCGATGTCTTGCAGAATAGCACGATCTCCACGCCAAATTTAATCCCAATCCGTCCAGTGGTTCTCGAGTTGAGTCATTCTGCGTTCTCGCAACGCACTTCGTGCAAATAACGCATAATAAACATATGACACTTGGGAAGGCCAATTTTTTGCTGTTGTATTTTGTATACCCCTGGTAAGACTACTTAACATTATGCCACTGGAACATGGAATACAATGGAATGTGCGGTCAAGAGTTATAGGTGACCTATTATAATAATTATAATTCATTCCTTTGTAGCCACACACAAATATACATATGCTACGTTTGGAAGTTATTGTTCAACTTTTTGTGGTCATATTGCTTTGTCAATCGGGTAGCATACGGCGTCATGGCGCTGCAATGACAAAATTTCTGCCTAAAAGTTGCAACTTCGATCCCTGACAGGATCATGTTTCTGAACCACTGTCCTTGAATCGTTTTTAATTACGATTCCATTTTATACCTACTTCGGCTTAGCTTGGCCAAGTACACTGCAAATTCGGAAATGTGTTCTTACATATGTCATTTTGAGACTTACCGCCGCGAGAATTTCAATCTCAGGAACAGAAACATGTAGCCTACTCAGGTTTAGAACACAGAAACTCCAGATACAATCTTTGTTATTTTCAGCCCTCATCGGAGTGTTGCTGTTATTTTTTTTTAATTTTTCTTTTCAACTTCGTCCATCGTTTAAATTAATTTCGTTTCAGGAACTGTATTCTGCTTACGTCATCATGCAAACATGATACAAAAATGTCTCTCTTAGGCCACCTGCCTAAACTGGTCTCGAACCAGAACGGCAACAGCATTAAAATGTCCTTCTTTTCCTCGTGATGGAAGCGGAATCCAGCCTTCGTGATTTTGGAAAATTATGTTTAGACGATGGACAAGGACCAAAAGAACAATTTAACATAATGTAACGCACCATCGTAAGAAGCCTACAAATTTAAGGTTAATGTTAACGGAGGTTATGTCCATAAAAGACAATCATCGTCAATACCCACCACCGTTCGTGGAATCTCAAAGTGGTTGAGCAGTTGAACATGGACATGCAGAAGGATTCAAGCTCGGGTTTATCACTCAGAGCATGGTTAAGTCAGCTAGACAAGAGTAGCTGACCACAGACGCTGAGCGGTCTGCGGTGCGTTCCAATCCAGGTTGGTAGTAATTTGTGTACTGTGATTCAAACCTCGCTCAGTTCATGGTTACATGCCAGTGTTTGTTACATACGGTTTAGAAAAATGTTACTATTTCTCACACATGACAATATTGTTGTTATGCCGCCGATTATTTTCACGAAAAATTATATAATAATTTCCAATTTGTGTCATGGATTTATATTTCCAAAATAATCATAATTTCTGACGGGTTACTGACCGTGTTTCGACATAATTCTAATCGCAGGCTCTCATCGGCCATGGGATTGAATTTAAGTTATGGTCGTTGATTGGTTAGAATATTGGTGACGTCAAACAATCTTGTACCGCCGTTGGCGAGTGAGTCATGGCGGGAGAAAGAAAGGTGTAATCAAACAGGACAAAAATCGAACGGTTCTGGGCATTTCGTCATCTTTGATCACAATTATTAATCTAAATTAATTAACACTTCAGCAAATGTAAAGTAGAAACAAACTAAAACAATTTCATGCAACTTATTTTTTGTAATGTAAGATAATCAGTTTTTGTAACCACGCAAGTATTTGATCAGGGCCTTGGGCGTAGGGCCTAGGGGCTGTGAGGATGGAAAATGGATACAATTGACCAGGAGATATGCTCTTGCAAAGTTGTTGTTAAAATTATTGTAACAAAACTAAATTTTAAACATTTCGACATTTCTTACAACATTCTCGAATACAAGATTCAGTTAAAATGGGTCATCGGCTGTCGATATATGCGAACGATAGGCAATGTTCACGCCTTACGTCACATCAGTTGCGCATGCTCACACCATAGTTATTCCCACCACGGTCTGAACGGGTTCCGTACTCCGTGGTCTGGACCGGTCCGGACGGTATTCGGCTGTCGTCTGCAATGTCGGGTTAGTGGAGTTTGGTAGGTAATTAAGTTTTTCTTTTACCATAGTAAAAAAATATATTAAAAGTGTTATGTCGTACATTTGACATTGTGTGTCTCTTGTCGGTCTAGTCACCTTGTTAATACACTGGAACTATTAGAGTATTCACTTTCGAACGATACAGTTTAATATTTTGTTCTGTTAATGAGGTCATGAAACACATAATTATATTCTTGTAAGAATTGTGCACTGTGGATATTAACATTTTGTAGCTGTACAGTACGAACCAGGCGTTGTAAATAAGTAGTAGGTGCAAGTTAAATTGGCTCGTTCAGTCATGATGTTTAAGAACTATGTTATGAGCCAGTTTTATAAGGTCAAGTCAAGGGATTGGTATATTGTATTAGAAGATCGATTACATTATAACTTTGGAATGATTCGATTTAGTCTGTAAATTATACTGATATGTTTGAATAATTCTTGTAATGTACAATATTATTATGTGTATCTTATTTTAGTGAAGAGAATGGTGCATGCTTCGTATGAGAGGTTTTGGAAAAAATCATGACATTTCTTGCCCTGAGCAGAGTTACGGGCATGCCGATATCCAGGTCCAAACAATTTGTCTCTCTCCCATTGCAAGGGCTGGATTGGAAGTGGCTTCAAAAGTAAGTAACAAAACCTGTTCCAGCCTTACTGTACAGTGTACTTTAATTTTATGACTGCAACTGATGCTGTATGTTAATAGTCATGAACCTGTGTAAATGACAGGTGACAGTTTTCTCTGATATAGACTAACCATCTAAATTAAAAAGTTTTCTGCTATGAAAATCTCAAATCTTGTATTGTTAAGCTATTCTTGACATTTGCCACCTGCTTAATGTATCGACTGCAATGGAGGATTTTGATCCACACCACATGACTTTTATATAATTGCTGCAGAGGACAGTGGTGTTCACTCTTTAATGCGTGAATATGTTTTTACACCATTGCCAGTGTCTGCCAGCCAGCCATGTTTATCACGCTTGTATGTCTACTGTTGTCTGTACAGTTCTTGTATCTGTATAATCGTTCAATGTCTTGGAGCAAAATAGGCATAAGTATCACTAGACAGATTTATTGATTTCTTGTTCTACCATTCTGAGAAGTATTGTTTTCAGAAAACATTTGTTTGTTGTATTATATTTTAGTTTAATTGGTGGGATTTGTGTCATACACTGACTCTATAGTTTATCTTGCACTTTGTCTACTAGATACAGCAGTGAATGCAGTAGTGTTATAGTGTTAAACGCATTATGGATCTTTGTTATTCTAACACACTTTAATTTAAGGATTTCAGACAGGGATGCTGAGGTGTCTTGATATGAAATTCATATATTCTGTGAAAGCCTGCAAATTTTCTTTCATCTGATTTCAGTGTACGATGGATGAATGAGAAAGCGAGCCCTAATCGGGCTTACATTCCAACAACCATTGAGCACATAGCAAATGTTGTGACACATGGGGTATGTAGATGTTATGTATATTTGAATCTTATTGTATTTTACACTTTTGGAGTATAATTACAAATTGGAACTAGTTTTGTAAATTAATGCTTGAGTAGTAAACTCATGTTAGAGATAAATAGATTAATTTTCCTCAGATTTGAGGAATTGTAGGAATTCCATGAGTACAGTTATTTTGAATATGTCGTTGCAGACTTTGCGAAATGGTACATTAAAATAGTTTCTGATTCATTCTTTTCAATCCACATATCATTCTGCCATATGATGTTACATAATTAATTAAGGTGAAAAAGCATTTTAAATGAACAAAGAATTGGTCAGTCAACCAGGCAGGTGCGATGATGTGCGTTAAAGTAGGTCATAATCACTTTCTTCAACATACTGATTGTAAATTTAAGCATACCGCTTAATGATACCATGTTACAATATTTTATTCTGTAATTTTTGTTATTATGTATCCTAATATTCATAGTTACTAAGATTTAGCACTATAAATATCAGAGTGTATCAGATAGAAAATTCTTGTACCATAAGAACAAGAAAAATACGTAACAACCCAAAGGTCTCCGGAGTAACCTGCAGTTTTATATCACTTACATATGGTGTTTCTGGACCCTCCAAGAACTGTTCCATTGAAAAATCTAATTAACATTGAAATGATCATAGCAAGATCCACTATAAGGTTAACGTAAACATTTTCAGTACCTTTGTCAATAATTTCTTTCTTACTTAGTCAGTTTGATAACTTTTAAAAATGTGAAATGGCTCAAAGTTATGAACAAAGATTGAAGATCTGTGACTTCAACAACAAAGTAAATGGAATTATAGCTTTCATTGTGATTGTACACCTTTTTATTAATTTTCTGAAATGGCACCTATTTATCAATTCTGTATGCACTCAGTGACTGTAATATATTGTCTGGTAGGATAACGCACACTAATAATCATCCTCTTCATAGGTATGGGTGTTTCCAAGTGTTGTAGCCAGCCTGGAGCTTATTGACAGAGCCACGAGCTGGCCGCAGTATTGGTCAGCAGTGGTGTACGGTGCTGCTCTCATCCTTCTCTTCACAGTCTCCACATTCTTTCATTCCGTATTTTATTGCAACTCTAATACGTAAGTTTGAACTTTCTACACAGGATAAGGAATGCAAATGGAAATAATTATGCGCTTGCTTGCTCAGCTTAATATGATAGCATTCTTACTTTGACTTGAGACAATGCCACCCTGAAGTCTGCCTTCAGGCCAACTATCATCATTGGGAAGATGGCTGTCTTCTGGGTTGTTGTGCAGGAAAGTCTGGTAGAAATTTAACGACGTTTCAGAGGTCCTTGCTGCTTTCATCATCAGAGCGATCGCCCTGATGATGGAGGCAGCAAGGAACTCTGAAACATCGTTAAATTTCTACCAGACTTTCCTGCACAACAACCCAGATGATAGGCTTCTTCAGACTGACTGTCGTGAAAACCTCAAATCCTGCTATCCTGATTGGTGTTATATGGTTTTTCCTCAGTCCTTCCAGAAAGATGCCGCCATAATATTTTGAAATAAGTAGCTACTGTATCCTTCACATTCTTAGCTTAAACTACATCATTGTATTGACTGATGCTAAGAAACATGAAACTTAACAGTGTACCGTACCCTTGAAGAACTGTTCTGTGCATAACACTGAAAGAGTTTAAAAAACTAAAATTTGATTGAGCAATTAATATGATACTTTTATTCATAACAAATGCAGATGGTGGTTAATGATTGTGCAAGTGAACTGCATATTAAACTTTTGATAAGTGAGGCACCTTACAATTTTAAAGAGTCTTATGAATAACAATTTTTTTATCAGGTATTCTCATACATGAAAAGGAAAACATTTTAAATATAACAAACTATGGAACAGTGTCTTTCTTGTGTAGCTAACAGTACTTCCAACTAATCAAGAAATTTGATTTGTATGGATGTGAAGGTTCATTACTGTGTTTACAAGAGCCTGCCACCAATCCATATTCTAAGGCAGATAAATGTTTCAGTATGGACAAATATAACTTTATGTCCACATCCTCAGATCTCAATCAATGCTACATGTTCTATGGCTGACCTCAGTTCCTCCAGATTAATTGGGATAGTGCCTTAAAATACGTTATGAATCTTTCTTCTTTTCGCATTTTTCACTCTGTTTTGCGTTTCATAGTGTATTTATTTTACTGTCTTTGTCATTCCCATTGGAACTGGTTTAAATTCAATGTTCATTAGCTCAGGTGTCCCAATTACACTTGTGTGAAGCTAAAAATAGATATTCGTGAGACAGATTTATCTGGGCTGAAAGAGGCAGCTGTGAGGTCACTCTACGTAAGTGAATGGACTATTGGTCCCTGGTATTGAGGTGTCACTGTCATTTAAATTTATTCTATCAAATGTAAGACATACATATGGCTAAAGGAGTTTCTTGCACTATTTTATGCAGTGTGTAATATGGTCTAGGACATTTTTAGACACATTTCCATTTTCGTTAAACGTCATATTGTAATGATTATGTTCTTTGCTGGTTGATTTGTACTTAGATACAGAGAAGCTGAGTTGTGCTCTAGGTGTACCTGAGAAAATATCTTGTTCCCCGTCGGATCACTGTTCTGTGTTGCAGTTTATCTTTCCAAATATTGTATTTTCTTATTAAAATGTTTATTTCTATTTTCATTTGTATGCTTCATGTTTCAACCTATTTCAATTATTTATAGAAGTGTCTTTTATTTATGTTTGAACCCCAGTACCATCATTTGTACCACAAATGGGGAAAATACCAGAGAGATCCATGTTATAACATGGAAACAGATAATAGGATTCACATTTATTTTACATCATGATTGTCACCCATAATGTGGTTTTGGTTGAATTTTTTGTTAACAAATCAAAACAAATCCAGCTAGGTTTTGTAATTCTCATGTTAAGGAAGGGTTTTACAGTCCTTATTTGACACTACCTCAAACTCAGTAGGTAATATAACATTACTTTTGTAAATTGTAAACTAATATGTAGTCTGGTCTCTTTAAAAAATAGATGTATTAAAAATTATGATAGATATGAACTTCTGATTTGATAAAAAGGACAAACTTAGTAGCTCAGCAAGTAAATATACCGGCTGTGGGCTGGATGACCGTAGTTTACTTTGCAGCTGGTGGGGGGGTTGTTCTCTTTGCCACCATATCGAGACTAGCACTGGGGTAGACTCTGTGCTTGTATCATCAAATGGGTACTGGTGTCTCTCTCCCCACAGATAAATCAGCCAGAGCATGAAGCTAATCCCTTTCCTCGATATAGTTTTGTAGTTAAAATGTGTCTGCTTTCATGGTATGCTGCTTATATGAAGAGTCAGCTTACATGTTTATGGGTTTGGAATTCAAGCTTTAAAGCAAAAACAATGCCGAGTAAACAAATATAATGTGACATTGTTGATGACGTCATTTTTTGACGACAACAACGGGGAATCACAAATTTTTATAGTAGATGTTTATTATGAGTAGAAATATATTGTGTGATAATCAGCTTATGTCATTATCATTAATTACAAATTATGTAATGATGTTCTTTTCAGAGCCGCTTGTCAGTGCAGTAGAATAGGATCAGTTAAGGTCTCCCTGTGATATGTCATTCATGAATGGTGCACGGGTCATTTCCTATTGCCCTGATAAACACTTTGAGTAGTCTGAAGGTCAGGTGAAGCCAAGAAACTATGTAAAAAGTTATACACAGGGGATTACTTGGATTATTTTCACATTTCTTAGACTACAAGAAGCCTCGTGTGTGCCATGCAATTCCAATAACAGCATACCACTCACTGCTCCTTGAAGAATTACATTTTATGAACCAGATTTCAGGATGCATAGAATGATACTGGATTGATTGTTTATTGTGGATTAAACTTGATGAATTAATTAAGGTAAAAGGTAAAACTATCTCCATGCATAAATACTGCACCATAGAGGCATGTTGGGGGATTAATATATTAAGTTTACAACTGAAGATTAGTGGAGTAAAGATACCTTTAGCCATTAAAAATCTGCTGGAGCATTCAGAATTTTATAATTCAGCCAAAGAGGTTCTACAGTTAAAGTTGATGTGATGAGGAGGTAATGCATGACCCCTACTATAAATAGTCTAGTGTTGCCATCAAATTAGTTCCAGCAGTCCATTTAGGACTGTTCATGATACCAGCTAATCAGTATACTGATGAAATGCTAATATATTCAGTATTGTGTAATTCTCTAAATGCCTATGTTATAAACTGTCTTCAAATACAGCCTCTAATTTGTGCAGCAAGTTAACTCCATGGAGCAGAGTTCTTGACATACTAATAATTCGTTTGCTCTGCTAGTCAAATTCCCATGCTCGTGTGGAATTGGTTAGTTTATTACCAAATTCAAAACAGTCTTGCAATGGACCCTAACCTGAGTCAGATGAATGCAGTCACATCCTCATATATTTTAAATCCTCTTGTTTATGCCTAGGTCTCCAAGTGTTGTTATTCCTTAAGTTTTTCTGACTAAAATATTGTATGCGTATCTTGCTTATGATGTCTTTTTTTTTCTTTGTGTAGACAGTTAAAGGACGTGTTACATCGTGGTGACAGAGCAATGATATATGTGTTCATAGCTGCGTCATATTTCCCATGGCTTACAATACAACCATTTCCTCTTACTGGTTGGACTGCTGAGCTGTGGTGGATCGTATGGGTTCTTGCATCTCTTGGCATCCTTTACCAACAGCTGTTTCATGAACAATACAAATGTCTGGAAACTTGCTTTTATCTCTTCATGGGTATTGTGCCATCTCTAGCCATAATTAATATGGTAAGTAACCAAAATATTTATTATTTTATTGTCAGTCTATTTGGAAACATTAAAAGATTGAAGGACTTGTGATTTGGCCTGTTTCAAAGCCTTGTGCTTAAGAAGGGATCAAGCACAGAAGCTTTTGTATCAAGCAAGCTGCAGATTCTTAATTTTTCTAAAGTTTACACCTCTAAGATAACTTACCAGCTTATATAGTTTTGAATTTAAATGCTCTTAGATAAATATTTGGCCAGGTCTCACCAAAATTTGCCCATATTTTGGAGTCACCTTAACAATTTAACGGCATGTAAAGAGTAGTTTCAAATTTGGATTCTGTACACAAAAATTATAAAAAATGGGTACTAATATTTAATTTATGTATGACGTAACTATATGGCCCCCAGGATTTGTTGAGCCCTCTCATTAGATATATAATTCATTCAGTTTATGATCTATATATTATATTTTTCTGTAGTGTGATTATCTTACAAAACTGTACCGGTTATTTGTTAGAACATCTTGAGGACACTTCAAATAAGATTTGTTATAACATTTTCCTGGGAAATCAGCCATGTTAATGTTAAGTCGAATGCTAGCGTTTCGAAAACTAGCTCTGTCTCCATCAGGATAAGTTTGAGGAATGACAAAGAAGTGAAAATATGTAGATCAGTTGGTCTTTGCAATAACCTCTCCTTATTAGTGTGTCATATGACTAGAGGGTGGAGTCAGGTTGTGTGGTAAGCTCTCTTACTTTGGGTATGGTGCCATGTCTCTTAACCTGGAGTAAGTTCTTCTGTCCGTAGTCCTATATTTGCCTGTCACTGACTGGCCATTTCATGACCTATTATGTCTAGTATTGGTTTGTAGTATTTTATTTGGATGTAGTCATATTTCTGTTGCTTCTTCAACTAATCATAATCCACATAATCTGCTATTTTTGCTAGTATCTCAGTGTCTTTGAATTTGATCTGATGGCCCCATTCTATGCTATGTTCTGCAACTGCTGTGGTTTGTCCAGTTGATATAGACAAAATTGCTTTCATTGCACAAGGAAAGCATATTGATTACCATAGATAGTACAGTGGAAGGTCAACTGTGCTGTTTTGTAAATTCCCTGTAATTGGTAACAGTGCAGTGCAGTCGCACTTTTAGGAGTGGATATAACCAGTATAATAGAAGCATGTGTAGCATATTAATTATTTATCCTCTTTATTCTGTGTATAGGTTTTATTAATGAGATGCTTTTACAGTTATACTTGTAATGCCTGTCAGTTTAAAACACTGAGACAAAGTGTTGGATAAATAGGCATGAAGTGGTTAACATTACATAATTAATATGTATGTGATTCTTTTTCATTCTTTATTTTTCCTCCCAAATATTTTCATCATTAGTGAACTCTTGCTTGAGAATTATAAAAGGATATTTGTGTAAGTTTTATGGAACATGCATTTAGAAAGTATATTATCTTTCCAGCATGAATTCTCTGGTCTGACTGAACTGAAGATTGGAGGTTTCCTCTATATTCTTGGTGTTGTATTTTTTAAAGCAGATGGTAAGATACCATGTGCTCATGCCATCTGGCACATATTTGTTGTCCTGGCAGCTGGTGTTCATTACTATGCCATACTCAACTATCTTTATCCAACAGTGGTGACACTAGATAGTAACCCTTAAATTGTTGTTGCCAATACATAAAATAAATCCTGTAGCTTTAAAACAATAGTCTTTCACATGAGTAAAGTGAAGGGTTTTTTTTTGTTATGTTATTTTTGAATATTGTTAGTTAAACATGAGTGCCTGTGATCAGGCTTATTTTAGTACAACAATAATGTTAAATTGTTTATAACTTTTACAAGTAACTAAACATTTTGTGAAAAGAGCCACATTTAATGATGGTGAATGATCAGTCTTAAGAAATATGTTACTCATATGAAATGAGATATTGAAAATTAATTATACTAATTTACTGAAATTATGTCATGTTTTACATCAAACTTATATGAGATGGAATGGAAACAATTGTTTATAATTTCTGTCTATAAACAGATGTTGGTATGAGTCACAGTTTGTTGTTATAAAGAGAATCACAAATATATAATATTGGCAGTATGTTAAAGATGTGTAATTACCATAGTGATAAAGTATCATTATTTGAAGTGGCAAACATCATATTTATGACTAAAATGCATATTTCCTGACCCTAATACAAGGCACTGCTGTCAAGTTACCTTGTACCAAGTATGGATATACTTTGTGATCCTGCTTTGTTCTCCATAATTCACCATTATGAAAATTCTGTCACCAGAAAGTGTTCTGCAACAGCTTTTATTTAGGAGAGGTTAATATATTAAAACATAAAGGAAGATTAATATATTTAAAAATGTAAAAGGCTGATGTATGCGGAGTTTAAATTATCTGATGCTGAATGAATTTAGTTTTAAATTGGTGGTCATAAAATTTTAAAATGAAGCTTTTTTAATGACCCTGATAAATGTTCACATTTGAGAATTAGAAAGTTTAATTTATTTCAAACAACTGATAAATGTTTACATTTGAGAATTAGAAAATTAGAAAGTTTAATTTATTTCAAACATAATCTCTGCTTTCCATGCACTTTTTAACAGTGATTAGGTGTTTGGACACGATGCCATTGGCAGTAATGAGCATCCAGTACATACAGAATGATTATAAAGTAGCCACTTGTGGATTTGCACTAACTATGTTGGCCAACATAATCAGTCCATTAGGAAGATCTGAGAACACTTCAAAAAGTAAAGTAAAATGTGATAAAGTATAGAATCATGTTCATAAAAATAAAATAGTGTATATCTTTCCCATCTGTTTGTTCATAAGTTTGGAATAACTGGTCCAATGCCAGCTATTGCTTTTGTGTTAAATAATATGTTGTGACCTAATTAAGGAAATGATAGTGTAAGTCCTGCAAAACATTAATGGATTTGAGCCCATTTTTTATGTTTCTGTAGTCTTGTAATTATGATGTAATGTGTGATACTGTCAAAGGCTATTTTGCTTCCAGAATTTTAATTCCCTTGGAGCTGTCATGGACGGTTGAAATTGAGATACATTTGTAAAAGGATGAACTTCTGTATGAGAATGTTAAAACAAGAAGCTTTAGCTTGTGCACCAGAGAAAATTATTTATGTAATTGATTGAATTTTCAGTTGAATCAGACCATGCAGTAAACAGAATATGTGATTGACTTGATTGAAATTTTTTGAAATTATGATTAGGTAATTTTTTTATATGTATGTGAAGAATGGGTAGACATGCTAATAATGAAATGAAAACAGTCGTTTTAAATGTCATAGTCCATGATAGCTTTAGAAAGTAGTCTTGCTAAATACATAAATAAAAATTAATTGTTGCTGTTATATTGTACATTCCTACCTGTGTTTAGAGTGAAAACTGTCTGTATTTAGTAAGTTTTAAATTTATTTTAACATTCAGTAATTTTATTCTACATTTTGGCAATAGGCATTTTGATGTAACATGAGTTTTCAAAACTTATAATTTTTGTTGCCCATTTTGAGGGCATCTGAACAGAGCCAAAAGTGAATATATTAAGCCAGTATTACTTAAACCAACAAAGTTTTAGACTATAGAAACAAGAGCCTAGTTCAACCCTTGTATTTAAATTGTGGCCGCCTAGGTTTTTGCGCTATATAGTCTTCTGGTTGCATTATAAGCAATGAACTAGCCAGCATATTCGAAATACATCTGCACCTCTATAATTCTTGATCTACAATTTAAACAGGTATAATAATATTTAGAGGACAGGCCAAGTCACAAGACACGAAACACTGGAAAGACACTATCTCATTCTCTTGTTGCATAGGCTTCATACACTCCTACACACCTATACCAGTGTTTCAGAGGAACATGCTGCTACAGGCAGAAGCATTTTCCCCTGAAACACTGGTATCCAACCAGAAGATTACATGGCACAAGATTGCATCTAAAGTTACACTGCTGTGAAACCCTCAAATCATACAATCTTTATATTACTTTGCAGAATGTCTTCCATAATTTTTTTGCGCGATACTTTAGGTCTTCACTGCAGTAAATATGAGGATCATGTTCTGGGTTATGACATAATTGTTCAGTCTTAACCCAGAAGATCATAATCCTCCCTTTATCTTGCCCGTGAAGACATCTGTTCAGACTGTTTACTGCCTTTCTGCAGAACATGTTTCAGATTGGCTGTCAAATATATTATGCTCTCTAGAGGAGGGGGCTTCCAGTGTTCAATAGTTCCTTAAAACATCTTGACATTTTTGTCCAGTAATTTTGCTGAAAGTTAGGTGAAGCTCTGCTTCCTAGAAATTTCCATGACTTTATACTAAAGATACTCAATGGCTGTAAAGCATATGTAATTCATACACTACTGGTTCATATGATAGTTATATGAAACATTTGTAGTATAGCATTTGGAAGAAGTAACTGCACAAGAACAATTATATAGGTAAATGAGAACTGTAATGTCCAGTCCAAGGGATCCTTCATAACAATCTGTATGTATGTACTAATGTGAAATGTGATTCAACCAAGTACATATTTCTTTTATTAAAAGTTAATGAGGTTCATGTACATATTTGTAATATTGTATTGACATAAATCTCATATCTGATCTGATCTTATTTCTGTTTGTACCAAAATAAATTCATCATTTTTGGTTCTTTAATATCATGCAGTATGGATTGCTGTCCCAATTGCTGTTTGATGTTCAGCTGCAAAGAGTTGAAAGTAGAACAGTTGGACTGATTGTTCCCAAAATGTGATTGATAGGAAGTAATCAAATGCGTATGATCAAGATAACACACTTTTACAACATATAAGCCAGTAATGGAAGTAATAGAAAAACTCCTTTCCTTTTAATGAAATTCATTTTCTGTACTGAATTCATATATGGAGTGGCTATCAAAATCAAGCATTAAACTAGTATCAACTTTTATACACTTGGCTCCACACTAAGGGAGTGTGTAACAAATGGTATATTTTATATTTAATTTTATGTGTGGTGGCATTTTTGAGCACCAAATATAAATTTATATTTCATGTTTAATGGTGTTGAAATGAGAGTGTTTAATTCATGGAAATGATGAAATGTAACCTCAGATTTATTTATAATGTATGTTAAGTTTATATATACTTGTTTTCAAACATAATGAATTATTTACAAAGTCACATTTTACTGTTCAAAAAAGAACTCCTGCTGTACTGAATGTTTCTTGCATATCAAACTTAGGCTCCTGTAATAATACAAATCCTTTGTAATTGGTAAGTAGATGTGTATAAATATATACCTGAATGTGATATATGACATGTACATGTTAACTTATAGGCATGCAATATATGTCTTAGTTTTATGAATACTTAAATTTTTAATAACTTATGGAATGTTCTTCAGATCCAACTGTTCTTCCATTACTGTAAATACATTACATTGTACACTCTGACTTAAATGTATTATAATCCTAATAGTTAAGAACTAGAATATCCTAGGTAAGACTTGAGGTTCTCACAGCGGTGAGTATGAAGATATCCGTCTTCTGGGTTATTGCGCTGTGTAGTCTGGTCGATGTTAACCAACGTTTCAGAAGTCATACTGCCTCCATCATCAGGGCGAGATTTGAGGTTTTCACAGTGGTGAGTATGAAGATTTCTGTCTTCTGGGTTTTTGCGCTGTGTAGTCTGGTCAATATTAACCAACGTTTCAGAGGTCATATTGCCTCCGTCATCAGGGCGATGAATATGCCAACAGGGTGTGAAGTGCTAGGTTTATAGGGCCGGAAAGTGAAAGGTGTAGCCTGCCCCGAGCCAATGGGAGCAGACGAGGGAGTGGACCAATTGTAGCAGGTGGGCGAGAGTGGGAGAGAAAGTAGAGAGAGAAAGGCTGAGTTTGGTTGGATAGATCTGGGCCCTGAAAAGGGCCATGTTAGTGGTCTGGTTGGTTCTGGCGGCGCACTCT